AGGGGGTGGTTAACCCCAACCACCCCTAAATGGTGTATTATGCCTTATTTTACATTAAACATTTTATTGTGCGACTAATTTACGGTTTTGTTAAAGTATTTTCAAAATACCTGACAATTTTATCACATCATTCTTACGAAAAGTGGTTACATGTTAACCCCCGTAACTTCGCTGGGGATGATCTAGAGCGAATGGGAAAAAACCCTTAACTAATATTTTTGAACGTGCTGGAAGTATACTTAATGCCGCCAAAATCGATAGGGTGGTTTTTAAATAATTCCAAAAAAATAGGGGTAGTTCGCCCTTTTTAACCCTCTGCTATATGTGTGACACATCAAAAGAAAGCTCTTTTAAAATGAATATCAGTTACAATTTACCAAATTTTGATAGCACTTTTCATTTTTAAAATATAAGTGAAAACGTACTTTTTCTCCAAACTTTCAACCCCTATAACTCGCCCCAGGGGCTTTTACCGCACGTATAAAAAAATGTGCGAACCTTATTTTGGCCCATTCTATGACTGTACCAAATTGCATCGAAATCGGTGAGACACAGTTGTGACACTTCCCTTGTAAGTTAAATATCGATATGATGTGTGTGCATTTTTCAAAAAACCCTAATTATCTCCCAAACTATAAATGTTAGATATAGGACACATGGGATATAAAAGATGTAGAATGAGACACCGAAGACGACTATGTAATAAAATATGGGGTGTGCCATTTAAAGAAATGAAGTTATGGTACTTCCAAGTTTCGAAAAGATAACGTGCCATAGTAAAGTGACCAAACGTTCTAGACAGGCATACTCGGCACCAAAACATACTCCATCATGTTGCTTCAGCATGTTCTGAATCCTAAATTGATATCTCAAAAATTGAGTGTTCTCTGATTTTTTTAACAATGTCTGCTGGAGCAGATTTTTCTAGAAAAATTCGAATAACTCGAGAACGGCCGAATGAAATTGCACAAAGTTGAGGTGCGGACTGCCTTCAACAAAGCTAAGGACTCCAGGATCGACTCTGACTGGCACCTCTATAAGAGGAAGCTGTCAGATTAAAAAAAAAACATTCGTCGAAAAAAGCGAGAAGCATGGAAGAACTTCTGTGAGGAAATTACTTCCTCTACAGAGGTCTCCCGCCTAAAAAAGGTGCTTCCTTCGAGCCCTGTTCAACGTATTGGTATACTAAAGAAGGAAGACGGTTCTTATACCGACAACCTTCAAGACAGTTTACAGCTTTTAATGACTGTTCATTTCTCAGGTTCGGACAACTTTAACGATGTCCAACAAGAGATAATTCATGTACCAACTGCGGATGAATGGCTCTTGGCCAAAGTCATCTGCGACGAGGAGAAAATACGGTGGGCTGTGAATACATTCTCGCCGTTCAAAACTCCAGGACCGGACGGGATTACACCGGCCCTCTTACAATGGGGACTGGATGACCTGCACCGCACCTGAAGAGTATTTTCCAGGGATGTCTGGCATTTCGCTATGTACCGGGAAGTTGGCGTGAAGTCACGGTCAACTTTATACCTAAACCGGGTAAGCAAGATTACTTCCTTCCGAAGTCCTATAGACCAATTAGCCTCTCCTCCTTTCTATTGAAAACGTTGGAGAGGCTTTGCGACCGTTACATTAGAGACTCTTGTCTGCGCAGCAGGCCACTAGACTCTAATCAACATGCTTACACCCAGGAAAAGTCCACGCTGACGGCTCTTCACTCAGTGATCAGTTTCGTCGGTGGTGCGCTGGACCACAAGGAGTCCGCCCTCGGGGTTTTTATTGACGTGGAAGGAGCTTTTGATAAAACTACCTTCTCCGGAATTAACGACGCCTTGCTAGAGCATAACGTTCCTCTGGCCCTGTGCGGCTGGATTGAGAGCACTCTAAGACATAGGGTCGTCAAATTAAGAGCTGGCCAGGCCACTCTTCAAGGGGCTGTTACTAGAGGCTGTCCGCAAGGGGGAGTACTTTCTCCACTTTTGTGGAATCTCACCCTCGATAGCCTCATGAAACGCCTAAATCTAGCCGGTTTTAAAACCGTTGGCTACGCAGATGACCTGACAATCCTCATAAGAGGCAAGTACGCTAATGTACTCCTCGACAGGATGCAGGAAGCACTCAATCTAATTGAGAACTGGTGTAATAAACAATGCCTTTCCGTCAATCCCAAAAAGACAGAGATGGTTCTTTTTACACGCAAGCGCAACATTGGCAATCCTAGACTGCCAACGCTCGCTAAAATTCCACTTAAACTGTCTACAGAAGTCAAGTACTTGGGCTTAATAATAGACAGTAAGCTAACGTGGAAATCCCACCTAGACAATAGAGTTAATAAAGCTTGTGTCGCCTTCGGCCAGTGCCGGAGGGCTGTCGGGAGGACTTGGGGTCTGTCTCCCAAGATAGCCCTGTGGATCTACACCGCCGTTGTTCGACCAATGCTAACTTACGGTGCGGTGGTATGGTGGACTAGAACTTCTAAGTCTACCGCCACCACTGCGCTTAATAGAATACAGAGACTCGCGTGTCTGTATGTTACAGGTGCGCTGCGATCAACCCCCACAGCGGCCATGGAAATCATGTTAAATTTACCACCACTCAACCTACATATCCAGGAAGTGGCGTTGGTAACCATGAAACGACTACAATCAGTAGGAACTATGAAGGATGAGGACGCTGGCAGCAGTTCAACACTCTGGAGGGAAGCAGTGTTAGACACACCCCTACTCGAGTGTAAGACTGATCACAGACCAGCAAAATATGTTTTCTCAAGGAAGTACCTCACCCACATCAGTCCCACAGTTGTAGATGTACATAGAACTTTAAAGATCTACACTGATGGTTCAAAAGGACGAAATGGTGCAGGCGCGGGGGTATTCTCTCACGATCCCCTGATTCGCCTCTCAGAACCTTTAGGTTACCTTACCCACAAAAAATTTTTAAACGGGTGGGACCGTACCCCGGGCTGTCATCTCGCTAAGGAATTGTTAAAATATCCTTCAGCCGCAACAGCCCAGTTTTTCGTAGGGCTCGGTATAAGTGCCCTTCGCACTGCCACAGGTCTCCTCACGGGACACTGTAAAGTAAATAAGCACCTTCAAAACATGAAGCTTGCTGACTCTCCTCTCTGTCGAGCCTGTGAACAGGATGACGAGACGGTTAAACACATCTTGTGTGATTGCCCGACCTCAGAATGAGGACCTTCGGGGAGGAATGGCCAACCACAGATGACATCAGGAATGCACCTCTAGGAACTGTCCTAGCCTTTGGTAAATCCTTAGGCTGGTTGATTGGTTGATGTGACCAGAGCGTGTAATGGGAGGATGCACAAGGGGCCCAATGGGGCCTAAGTGTGGCGTGCGGTTTTGCATGCACTCCCAAATCCATACATACACATACATTGCACAAAGTAGAGTCATTCATAAACCTTGAAAACAGACAAATCCAAATATGTAAAAATATACAGGTGTTCCATTTAAAAAAATAAAGTAGGTGGCGACTTCCAGTATAACCGGAAGTGTTAGATATCTGAAAATATTTTAGTCGAAGAGAACGCAATTGATAATACTTAAAAAAAATTTTCAAATTTTTATTTTGACCAGAACCCTGTAAAGTTCTAATGGACGGTCGTCGTGGATGACCCTGTATATGCATAGTTTATATATACCTTATTATCAATATATCATTTTCATTTCTTTTGAGGTTCGACTTATCCTTCCACTGTATTATCAAAGTAATACAGTAATTATTAGTAATTATTTTCATTTACTACAGGAATTATGTAAAGTAAATGAATTGCTTATACCTATTTATTTTCTTAATTATTCTTTGTGATTCAGTCATCTTGGCCATAAATCACACCACCCCGCTTGCCTGTTCCGAACTTTTACAAGACTACAGAGCAGGTAAAACCGCATTGAATGCCTCGTGAACGTAGGTCGTTTCTAGTACAATTTTATGCCTCTACGAGCGGCTCTTTTCGTATTATATCTGAACAGAACTGTACCAGTCATGCAGTGAGCCAGATACTGTATTATTATACAAAAAAAAATGACCAATTTTTGTATTTTGCCCTCCTAAATTTGAGAAATTGACCACTGTGCGAACCAGTTCTATGAGACACCCTGTATTAACTAAAGATTTATGTAATAAAAAAAACGATTTTTTGAACCACCTAATGTGGTTGCTTCTCATAAGACGGCTAAACCCGAATGTTTCTTGTAGATCTAGTGCTGGTTGTAGTTTTAATTCTATAAAAATATACAATAATATGACGCTAAATAACAAAAATAATTTGGGACACCTGTGCATACAAATACATTTATCGCGATAATAAAGGCTTATATTTGATCTGTCTTTGATCCCCTATAATAACTTGGCTTAATTTAAAGTACCAATTTGTATTTATGAAAATAACTGAGTACTACTTCCACACTTAGATTTAGAGAGGTACTCTTAAACTGTAATCATTTATTTGAATAAAAATAAGCAATATTACTTACATAAGAAATTACACATGATTTATTTACCACACAACTATTAGGTGTTTTGATAAAGTAATCATCAAAACACCTCAATATAATCGCTTATCTCATCATTGAAGGGGATATTTAATAATTATACCTAATCTTTATTATAACTCACCTCTAATAAAACGTTTCTTCACAAAAACTAAACCCAAATTGATAATATATATATAAAATTGTTTAAAAAAGGGGAGTTTAATATCCAATTACAAAATGCTATCTTGGGAATTAGTATTTGCACTAAACAAACCATTACAAATTCTATAAATAACGCCGAAATGCACTACTATAACTCTGTAGGTACCTCTATGTACATTTTTGTATCTAATCTAGATAATAACCGTAAAAAAACCTCTTCATAAAGTGAATTTTATCAATATGAAGTTCATCCTTTTTACGTGGTGTTATACAAAAACTGGAAACACTTAATAAACCTTGTTAACATCGTCTTACGATTTATTTAAGTGATAATTCAATTAAAATTTTAAAAAAATTTAATTTTTTGTTGTGGTTATGTTTTCTTACCTTTTTTATTTCGAGGTTATTTTCTTAAATTTTTTGAGATTCTTCTTTGTCCGGGTTAATTTATCGGTCGTCGCCGATGATTTTCTCGTTCATTTCCATCACATATCTCGGTGATATCTCAAAAAACACCATAAAAAGATCATTTTCGTTAATCAACATAGAAAATCGAGAACTGTCAAAACAGATGATTTTTTTAGCGACATCTATCGGATGAAAGATAAATTACATACGTTAATTAAAAAAAAAATTTTTATTTTGAAATTAATGTTTAAAATTTTTTTCGAATGTTTATAACTAAATTTATGTTTTTCTTCGATAATCTTTAACACCATAAAAAGATCATTTTCGTTAATCAACATAGAAAATCGAGAACTGTCAAAACAGATTTTTTTAGCGACATCTATCGGATGAAAGACAAATTATATACGTGAATTAAAAAAAAAATTTAATTTAAAATTTTTTTCGATTCTTTTTCGAATGTTTATAACTAAATTTATGTTTTTCTTCGATAATCTCCTTGTATTTCTTTTTATTATATTTAGTAAATTCGGCATCATCAAGGAGTTCATCAACCAAGGTACGTTTTCTCTCTTTTTTAGTTAATCGGTCGCTATAAAAGTCTAATTTGTTGTCCATAACTTTACCAACCTAAAAAAAATATTATTTAAACAACTATTTCAATTTGCTACTTTTTTTTTACCTGAAAAAATTTCGGCAAAACACTTAAATCATTCTTTTTATAAAATTGTTTAGGATTTAACACCGAACGCATTTTTAAAACCTCCAAATCAGCTTTAACCTCCTCAGTAAGTTCTTGAGCAGGTAAATTAAACCATTTTGAACCTTTACTTTTATCATTTTCAGCTTTTTTCAACTTCATTTTTTCTCGTTTAGTTAATACATAAGCACCAATTGGTCCTGAATCCAAATTCTTTAAACATGACGTTTTTAAAACTTCCCTTATTTTATTCTGTTTAATATCCTTGGAATTTTGTTCATTAGATTTCAAATTTTGCTTATTGTTAGTTTTGATAAAATCGTTATAATTGTTGAGTAATCGTTCGATTTCGTCTGAAGAACAAGCTTAAAAGGAATTATGATAAATTAAATTAAAAAAAAATGAGGTTATGTTTTAACCTCAAAATTATAAACTTCAATTAACGGCAAGAATTTTACTTACTGACTGATTCTCGGTTTTTTTCGATGTTTTCATCGCCTTTTTCGTTTAATATATAAAAATCCATTTTATTTTCATGCGAAAATGAAGTTTCTTCTCGTTTTAACCCAACTTTACAATCACAGAGTATACAGAGGCCGGACTCCGGCTAATAAAAGTGGCACTCCTATCTATCCTTGTTTAACTAATCTAAACTTCGTATGGTATTTTCTCTCTCACATAAATTGAATCGATGTAGATGGCGGTAGTGTAGTGGATCGATAAATACGAGCGGGAATTTGAATGCTCGTTTGAATATAAATCTCATTACTCTTTAAAATTTTTTTTAATAACAAGTTCCAAAATATCAAAAATTTTCATCTCAAAACTTGAACAAGTTTTAAGATGAAAACAGTGATTTTTTGAACTTGATATTAAAAAAAAAACTAATAAAATGTTATTAAATAAAAATACAAACTTCAGAAGAACAAATCTATGTATATTTATAGACAAATATTTACATTTAATCGTTTTCATGCTCATGGGGGCGTTTTTGTACAATGGTAAAGCATTTGCTTCAAGGCTAGAGGAAAACCCATGAAAAACTCTAGCATACCATAAGTCAAATAAATTTCTAGACAAATTTAGGAATACAAATTGCAATTGCAAACAACAGATTTAAGACAGCCAGAATAAAAAAATTCTACAAAGCGACTAAAATTAAAAGTATTACAGCAAAAACGAGCAGTAGACAGAATTAATGATAAAATGTTATTTATATAACTGTATGGAATATATAACTGTAATATTTCTTTTTATTTGTTTCTGTTCGTATCAATTAGAACAATATTTCAGCGAGCAGAATAAATTATAACATAGAATTGATATAAACTGTAATATTTCTTTTTATTTGTTTCTGTTCGTATCAATTAGAACAATATTTCAGCGAACAGAATAAATTATAACATAGAATTCATATAAACTGTAATATTTCTTTTTATTTGTTTCTGTTCGTATCAATTATAACAATATTTCAGCGAACAGAATAAATTATAACATAGAATTCATATAAACTGTAATATTTCTTTTTATTTGTTTCTGTTCGTATCAATTATAACAATATTTCAGCGAACAGAATAAATTATAACATAGAATTCATATAAACTGTAATATTTCTTTTTATTTGTATCTGTTCGTATCAATTATAACAATATTTCAGCGAACAGAATAAATTATGTATAACATAGCGACCAAGACGAGAATTAAAACAAAGCGAAAAGGAACAATATTTCAGCAAGTAGAATAAAGTAACAAAGCGACCAAGACAACAATTAAAACAAAGCAATTTTATTAAATATGATAAGTTATAAAAGACAACTGATAAAAAATAACAAACTATTTATTTAAGTAAACAGCAATGTCTGAAAGCTGAAGCGTCCTGACCTGCATTCTGAAGGATATTTTCTTATCTGTACAAACAATTACAGTGGAAAAGTTGCTTGCATTTTGTTTAAATATGTTGTGTTTAAAATTTGACAACACATTTACTTAACTCAGCTTGTATTATGTTAGATTCATGTAACATGTATTAGTCTTAGTCATAATTTTAAGTTCTTAGTTCGTCATTTATCTTATTGTTATTATTATTATTATTAATCACGATTACATTACTTTAACTATGATCACAACTAAGACTTAAACATGTTGCCTCAATTCGTGATTAAATAATTGGAAAGTAAATACTATTACCTTTAAAAACCTGAGTAAAAGATTCTGGTGTGCTTAACATATCTCTCAGTAATGTAGTTTTATTTTCATAATTCTTTTTAAGTCTCCGGATCTGTTTTTCTTTGTTCTTTAAAATTCGTCGCAGTGATTTTTCTTTGATTGTTGCACTAAACTGGCTCTTCTTAAATACTGACTCTGTTGTTGGATTTGTAGCGGAGGAAGGTATGGCAGCGTCTTTTGTTATATTTAACTCCTATAAATAAATAAAGTGTTATTTTATACACAAATCCGGCGGTTTTGTTGATAATTTTATAGTGTTCATGATTTTATTTACTTATATGTATATATTTTTTTTGGTTTGTTGCACTTTTGTTGCATCATCAATAAACATATATTATTATTATTATTAAATACATTACAAAGTAAAAAAACCTTGTTGAGTAAAAAGTGATAATGTTAAAAAGTTAAAAAATAACAATAACCAGCACAGAAATTAATTAATATTTGTTTCTGATAGCTCTCAACATAATATGGTATCCTATCAATGTTATTAATAAAGTGAAAATAAAAGTAAAACTTACTATGACAGAATCCGTTAAATTATTTTGCTCCAGTTCAGGCTGTCTAAGCGGTTCACTCGTTACAATGTGTGCTTCCTGAATAAAGAAAATGTAATTAGAACTGTAAATTTCATTCTAAAAGTAAATAGAAGCAATTAGAAGTAAGAAATTGGAATTTACATTCATGATCACTCTTAAAGGCTTTGCATCTCTTTTTAAGGTCAAGGGGGTCCTATTCAACATAAAGCTTTCCATTGTAAAGTGATTGTTGCAAATTCTCATACGTCTAGAGTACGTGTTTTCTGCTGGTACACCAAGACACTCATTCCATAATCACTGTCTAAAGTATCAAAGTAAATTTTCATTTAGTACAAAAAATCTATCTAACTTAAATTTATAAATTTACTTATTGATATTTAATGGAAAAGAAAATAATTTAACCACTTCCTCTACCGAACGTCCGCAAATGTAGCAATTGCTATCCATTATAACTAAATTCTACTATAAAACTCTACTAGGCCTTAAAAACTAACTAATTCTAAGATAACGAACTATGGCAATAAACTAATGAAAACTAAGTTATACAAACAAATAAACTACTAAACAAATCTATGTAATAATCAAACGCTAAACAGGCAAAACTGCACAATAATTAAACAAGACACAGATAAAAGATTGATGAAGTAAATAAAAATGTTGAAATGGCTGAATAAGCAAGTCACGCAAGTTCTGATAGAACTGGAGAACCTGGAGAACTGGACGCATCTGGGATTTACAGATTTACGGACTTGAAATACATGGCGCCATCTATTGCCTTCTTTAAAGTCTACGAGTTTACCACTTAAAAATTTTGAAATAAATGGTGCCATCTATTGGTTTCTTTAAATACTACTGTAACGCGACCATTGCGCCATCTACATCGATTCAGTTTATGTGAGAGAGAAAGTATCATACGAAGTTTTCATTAGTTGAACAAGGATAGATAGGAGTGCCAATTTATTAGCCGGAGTCCGGCCTCTGTATACTCTGTGTTTACAATCTTGACAGTTAATGTTGGTAATGTAGATTTCTGATTTCTGTTTAAGGTTTTTATATACAGAGTACTCAAAAATTAACTAATTACACACTCATGAAAAAAAAAATATATGTTATGTGTCACCACATCTAAGAATACTATAGGAAAACCATGAATCATCCTAAAATTCCCAGAAATTTCCATAAAAAGCCCTTATTCAGCAGAAATCTACAGAAAATAGTATAAAAGGCCAGGAAAATCTTAAAAAAGAATTCATTTCATTTCACTAAACGACGTTACAATGTTAGTTTGAACTTTGTAATTAAATCTAAAATAAAAATAACTTAATTTTTGAAAAGAGTTTTTAAAAATAAAACTTCTAACTTCAAAAACAAAAGTATCGCGCAAAGTCAGTAGGATACAGGGTGGTTAACACATTGGAAGTTTTCAAGTGTGGTGTTTTTGTCCTCACCGAAGTTTGTTACAGACGAGGTCGATGCAACAGCAGAAACTGATTTTTGGGAACGGAAAGTATAGGCTTGAAACTACATAAAAAACCAAATTTCAACCTGGGATCTTGTGGGACTTTTTTTGTAGCTTAAATTAAAGATTAACATCTGTTCATGAACAGTGTTGAGAAAAAGATAAATAAATCCAGCATTCAAGAAGCTCTTACAGTGTTACATAATAAGGGTAAAAAAATTAAAAAATGCATTTTAATTAAAAACAAAATATATAATCAAAGAAATATAAATAAACTTGAAAAAGACTGGAATAATCATAATCCATACTTCAGCAAAAATTTAAGAATTATATTGGTGGAAAACTAAACTTAAGGGAATAGTCGGGAATACTCTGGTCAGAAGGTTAATTTGCAAGAAAAAGTCTGAAATTGCAATAGTTATAAACTAGACTTCAGCAAAAAAGGAATTATATTGTTCAAAGTCCACATCAAGTCTGAAATTACTGTTCAGAGAAAATATAAGATTGATTATAAACCAAACATGATTTTTCATGGCAATACTTATGTGTTCAATAAAAGAATGCGAAGAATATGAACAAGAAACCAATGGACTTGTCTTGTTATTGCACAGGACAGGAAATCAGCAATACGGAAACTTTGCCAATGCAGGATAAGCACAAAAGCAAAGTAACAGCTGCAGAAATGAGGTACCGGGTGGTACAAGATCCGTATAAATAATAAGAGGCCCGCAAAAAGATGAACAAAATCAAAACATAGATCAAGAACAAAACATAGATAACGTTGGCAGAAGACTAGATACTGCTTCTAAAAAACTAAATACTGCTTTCTGAAGACTAGATACTGGTTTCTAAAGACTAAAATTGCTTTGTGAAGACTAAATACTGCTTTCTAAAGACTAGATACTGCTGACAGGTCTAAGTACTGCAAAAGAAAAATGATATTGTTGGAGAAAACATACATAACGTTGGCAGAAGACTAGATACTGCTTCTAGAAGACTAAATATTGCTTTCTGAAGACTAGATACTGCCGACAGGTTTAAATGCAGCGTCTGGAACACTAAATACTGCCTTCTAAAGATTAAAATTGCTTTGTGGAGACTAAATACTGCTTTCTGAAGACTAGATACTGCTAACAGGTCTAAATATTGCAAAAGAAAGATAAAATATTTTGGAGAAAACATACATAACTTTGGCAGAAGACTAGATACTGCTTCTAGAAGACTAAATACTGCTTTCTGAAGACTAGATACTGCTAACAGGTCTAAATACTGCAAAAGAAAGATAAAATATTTTGGAGAAAACATACATAACTTTGGCAGAAGACTAGATACTGCTTCTAGAAGACTAAATACTGCTTTCTGAAGACTAGATACTGCTAACAGGTCTAAATACTGCAAAAGAAAGATAAAATATTTTGGAGAAAACATACATAACTTTGGCAGAAGACTAGATACTGCTTCTAGAAGACTAAATACTGCTTTCTGAAGACTAGATACTGCTAACAGGTCTAAATACTGCAAAAGAAAGATAAAATATTTTGGAGAAAACATACATAACTTTGGCAGAAGACTAGATACTGCTTCTAGAAGACTAAATACTGCTTTCTGAAGACTAGATACTGCTAACAGGTCTAAATACTGCAAAAGAAAGATAAAATATTTTGGAGAAAACATACATAACTTTGGCAGAAGACTAGATACTGCTTCTAGAAGACTAAATACTGCTTTCTGAAGACTAGATACTGCTAACAGGTCTAAATACTGCAAAAGAAAGATAAAATATTTTGGAGAAAACATACATAACTTTGGCAGAAGACTAGATACTGCTTCTAGAAGACTAAATACTGCTTTCTGAAGACTAGATACTGCTAACAGGTCTAAATACTGCAAAAGAAAGATAAAATATTTTGGAGAAAACATACATAACTTTGGCAGAAGACTAGATACTGCTTCTAGAAGACTAAATACTGCTTTCTGAAGACTAGATACTGCTAACAGGTCTAAATACTGCAAAAGAAAGATAAAATATTTTGGAGAAAACATACATAACTTTGGCAGAAGACTAGATACTGCTTCTAGAAGACTAAATACTGCTTTCTGAAGACTAGATACTGCTAACAGGTCTAAATACTGCAAAAGAAAGATAAAATATTTTGGAGAAAACATACATAACTTTGGCAGAAGACTAGATACTGCTTCTAGAAGACTAAATACTGCTTTCTGAAGACTAGATACTGCTAACAGGTCTAAATACTGCAAAAGAAAGATAAAATATTTTGGAGAAAACATACATAACTTTGGCAGAAGACTAGATACTGCTTCTAGAAGACTAAATACTGCTTTCTGAAGACTAGATACTGCTAACAGGTCTAAATACTGCAAAAGAAAGATAAAATATTTTGGAGAAAACATACATAACTTTGGCAGAAGACTAGATACTGCTTCTAGAAGACTAAATACTGCTTTCTGAAGACTAGATACTGCTAACAGGTCTAAATACTGCAAAAGAAAGATAAAATATTTTGGAGAAAACATACATAACTTTGGCAGAAGACTAGATACTGCTTCTAGAAGACTAAATACTGCTTTCTGAAGACTAGATACTGCTAACAGGTCTAAATACTGCAAAAGAAAGATAAAATATTTTGGAGAAAACATACATAACTTTGGCAGAAGATTAGATACTGCTTCTAGAAGACTAAATACTGATTTCTGAAGACTAGATACTGCCGACAGGTCTAAATACAGCGTCTGGAACTCTAAATACTGCTTTCTGAAGACTAGATACTGCCGACAGGTCGAAATACAGCGCCTGGAACACTAAATACTGCTTTCTAAAGACTAAAATTGCTTTGTGGAGACTAAATACTGCTTTCTGAAGACTAGATACTGCTTTCTGAAGACTAGATACTGCCGACAGGTCGAAATACAGCGCCTGGAACACTAAATACTGCCTTCTAAAGACTAAAATTGCTTTGTGGAGACTAAATACTGCTTTCTGAAGACTAGATACTGCTAACAGGTCTAAATATTGCAAAGGAAAGATAAAATATTTTGGAGAAAACATACATAACTTTGGCAGAAGACTAGATACTGCTTCTAGAAGACTATATACTGCCGAGAGGTCTAAATACAGCGTCTGGAACAGTAAATACTGCTTTCTAAGGACTAAAATTGCTCTGTGGAGACGAAATACTGCTTTCTGAAGACTAGCTACTCCTGACAGGTCTAAATATTGCAAAAGAAAGATAAGATATTGTTGGAGAAAACATTAAAAAGGCGCCCGGTTGCAGTGCACCCCTTGCACCTCCCTGTAGCGCCGCCTCTGCGGCTGATGTCGGATTTTAAAATTAATCACTTTTCAACGTTTAGCGTTATGAAAGCGTCGATGGCTGAACGTGTAATTCGAACTGTTAAACAGAGGATTTACAAGTTCTTTAGTTTATATGGGAACCATAAATGGGCGCACCAATTAAAGGACATAACATCTCGATGTAACAGTACAAAACATACAACTACGAAAATGAAACCATCTGTAATAAATTCGAAATCTGTAAAGAATAAACTTCTCAACACAGTGTACAGGATGTCCAAATTTCGATGGGTTTGCAGGGTATCTCAGTTATTATGAAATGAAAAAAAATGAAAAAAAAGCTATTGTTTTGTGAAACTTACAATGGCGCAAACCAAATTTTCATAGTCCTTCTCGTTTTGATATACTACAGTAGCTCAGGTTCGCGAAACCCCCAGAGGAAAGTTTAGAGTTGGAGATACCGTTCGTATCAGTAAATATAAACATGTGTTTGATAAAGGATATTTGCCCAACTGGGCCACCGAATTGTTTAAAATCGTTAAAGTGAAAATCACAAATCCAATTTCACATTTATTGGAGGACAGTTGACGTTCATAAGATCCTTCATCCGTCGCAGACCCGATGGCTTTCTGTATCAATAGTGGTAAAGAGAATTTTAGAACAGTGGTCAGCGTTACAATTATATTTTAATTCGAAATGGTTAGATGAATGTCTTCTCACTGTGGAGCAAATCCATAAAGGCTTGAATGACCCTTTCACAAAATTATTTTATGTTTTTACATAGTGTGCTTCCAAAAATTGTGACTATCAACCAATACTTTCAGTCTTGCTGTTATATTATATGGAAAGACGGTATATTGTCAAAACAAATTTATCGCAGCTCGATCCTGAGAATAAAACTTATTTTTTACCAAAAAATTTTATATATTTGGGAATACAATTTTTTAATGAAATTAAAAAGCCAGAAATTTCCAATAATCATTTATTATTAAGTGCTTTCTATGAAAGATGTCAGAACTTTTATAGCGTTCTCTGTATGGAAATTAAAAAAAAGATTTGATTTTGAAGATTATTTACTGTCAAATATTCATATATTTACTCCCAAAAATGCAGTTTCACATCAAGTAAGACAAATATTTCCTTCCTTAGTAAATTTATTAAATTGTACAACTCGTTGTTTTGATTCTAAAGATTCTCAGTTAATTGATGATGAA